GGAGAAAGGTGCAGGGGAAGGATAAATTAGGAGGTTGGGATTAACAGATATACACTGCTATATATAAAATAGATAATCAACAAGGACCTTCTGTATAGCACAGGGAACTCTACTCAATACTCTGTAATGACCTATATGGGAAAAGAATCTGAAAAAGAGTAGATTAAAAAAAAAAGATATATGTATTATAATGTCTAACTGATTCACTTTGCTGTATAGCAGAAACTAACACAACATTGTAAATCAGCTATATTCCAATTAAAAAAAAAACTTAATCCAGAAAACCAAAACAAAACAATTCTCAAGCAAAATGGGCAATTCACAACAACTAAAGCAGCTGTTACTGGGAATGGTTATTTAGAAAGTTATGTCTCACCTAAATTGATCTATAAGATTTGTACACTTACTCTATTTCTTTAATTTTGTATCTGAGATGATGGATGTTTACTAAACTTGTTGTGATAATCATTTCATGATGTATATAAGTCAAATCATTATGCTATACACCTTAAACTTATACAGTGCTGTGTGTCAACTATATCTCAATAACAGTAGAAGAAAAAAAAGATCCATACCCTTACAATAGAGATTAAAAGTGGGTAGGCCTAAAAGAGATCACTGACCCCTTCCATGAAGCAATATGATTCTTCATGTTTAAAAGTCAACTACTAAAAGAAAACTTCCAACCTTGCTCGGAGAAAAAGAATGCCACAAAGCATACATATTTTCTCTCAAATCATCATGTATAATGTAATAAATAAGTAAAGATCTTAGGATTTTTAACATAACCATGAGAGCACTTCACTGTATTTCAGAATCTTCAAAGGAGGCCTAGATAGATAAATTAGTTCCCTAGCTAATTAAGGATTCAGTTTCAACAACAAGTCTCAGGCTTAAGGACCAACTCCAATCCTATGAAGCTTGTACAAACCACTTTTCCAAAGGGACACTATCTTTCTCCTTTGACTCTTCCACAGCCCCACTAAAACCAGCAATTCACAATCACATTGTCTGAAATTTAAATAACTCTCATTTTTATACCAGAACTGAATAGATGCTTTACAGACATTTTCTCTCATCCTACAACAACTCTGCAAAATTGGGTCTATCCCTATTTTATAGATGTAGAAACTGATGCTTAGAGTGTGTTACCCAAGGTTACACAACTAGGAGGGGACAAAACCAGCATTTAAACCCAGATCTGTTTTACTTCAGAGCCTTTACTTTTACCCACTATGCAGTACTACCTCTTGCATGAAAGTATTACACTAATAATTACCAGCTGCTGTGTCTTGCAACCCTGGGCAAGTTTCTAAACTTCTCAGTGCCTCATTCTTCTCATCCATGAAATGAGGATAATACATTACAGGTACTGCACTGTGGTGAAGATTATATAAGATAATGTATGTAAAAGCCCTTTATAAACTATAATTGTTTATATTATTTCATGTACTAGATTTTATGCTCCTTCAGAACAGGTTCTTATGCCTTACATGCATATTCCCTTCAACATCCAGTAAAGGGTTTAACATGAATTGAACATCTACTAGTCTTTGGAAAAATTTGAGACACCTTTTCCCCCTCTAAGGAGGAAAGTAAGTGGTGTCCCATTGCATGAAGCCTGGGATTAAGTATCCGTAATCCAAACCTTAAATTACAACATAGTGACAAACTCAGTGTACCCATCAAACATGAGATTTAAACAGCCTCCATGACATTTAACTGTCTGGTGTTTCCTTTCCAACGTGGCTTTAGTGCCATAACAGTTCAAAAGGGGGAAAATCCCAAATGAAAAATATCAACACATTTTGTAAGAAAACGTGCCCGGAAGGAGGGAGAGCAGAATAAGGCCTGATTTGTTATCCGAGTTAACAGAGACCTCATTGTTTTGTGTACTATCTGAATTACAGCCTCCTGATGACAGTAGTAACTATAACACCGTCTAACTCATTACTCACTGTGAAATTTCATTTACTTTAAGAAGACCAATAACATATTTATTAAATTTCCTTAGGCATACTCACACCCCCCTCAATAAGATGGACATATCTAGTAGTATATCCAGGGACGGGAGCCAATATGTGCTAGATTTGCTACCAAGTAAGCACAGAGGAAGGGAACCAGCCCCTGCTTTGCTGATATGTGATTCTTGGGAAGCCACTTAACATCTCTGTTAATGATGGATCTGTTTTCCGCTCTGTAAAACATGAGCTAATATTATTTTGCCTACCTCACAAGTTTACTGTGAAGGTCAAATGAAATAATAATATATGTGAAATTAATTTACAAATTATATTACCAGAAATAGCTAGATAATCACCTACCACTTGTCCTTTAGTAAATGTCACATACTAGCAAAGCTGACGTACAGATTTCTCTGAGTGTGTTCACCTTATAGTAACAAAGAGAATTTTTTAAAAAATCTACTCGGGGGACTTCCTTGGTGGTCCCAGTGGTTAAGACTCCGCACTTCCACTGCAGGGGGCGCAGATTCGATCCCTGGTCTGGGAACTAAGATCCCACATGCTGTGCAGCGTGGCCAAAAAATTAAATTAAATTTAAAAAATGAAAAGAACTATAAAATAAGAAAATAAAAGTCTACTCGGGAATTCCCTGGGGGTCCAGTGGTTAGGACTCCAGGCTTTCACTGCCAAGGGCCTGCGTTCAATCCCTGGTTGGGAAGCTAAGATCCCGCAAGCCTCAGGGCATGGCCAAAAAAAAAAAACAAAAAAACACACAGCAGGTATTTAAAGAAATAAATAAATAAATAATCTACTCGTCTCTGAGAAGGACACAACAAACACTTTCTTATCTACAGAGCTATGGAAGAGGTAACTGGTAAAGCTGATTTTTCCACAATGGATCTATATATTTTTTTAAAAAATATCTTCAAATGGTTCAGCTATGCCTTCCTAAAAGTGTGAAAATGGATTATCAGATCAAGATGTAGCCAGAGACTTCATATGTGACAAGCATCACATACTAGGTCATTTTACCTAGTACCTCAGTCTCTGCAAAATGCCATGTGGCTCAGAGTACTAAAAACTAGTCCTCTCCTTGTCTCCCCACTCGTCATCCCAGCTGCTTCCTCAATACCTCTGGCAAAAAGAAAATAAGGAGAATTGAGAATTCAAAATTATCTTAGATACAGGACATGCCTACCACCCCTCTTTGGGTTTCCTTGACCTAATTCCTTTCTGAACTAAGCACAGGAACCCACAAAAGACTGATGACGTAGTTTACTAGCTGACCCCTTGACCCCAGTAATTCTCTGAACTATACTGCCAACTTGCACCAGAACTTTAACTAAAGAAAAATTGCACAGATGTCCAAAAGTAGACTGAAAGCTAGAAAGGCTTCAGGTCACACACAACGGTACACACACAAAAGAAAAACTTATCCCACTACTATTTTTGTTGATCATTTATCAACTATGTTGAACTGTATACACATTTTCAGTCATAACAGTAAGAAAAAAGGAAGAAACATAATAATAAGCACTTTTTTTTTTTTTTTTTTTTTTTTTTTTTTTTTTGCAGTCCGTGGGCCTCTCCCTGCTGCGGCCTCTCCCGTTGCCTGAGCACAGGCTCCGGACGCGCAGGCTCAGCGGCCCTGGCCCCCGGGCCCAGCCGCTCTGTGGCATGTGGGATCTTCCCAGACCGGGGCACGAACCTGTGTCCCCTGCATCAGCAGGCGGACGCTCCACCACTGCGCCACCCGGGAAGCCCAATAATAAGCACTTTTTTTTTTTTTTTGCAGTCCGTGGGCCTCTCCCTGCTGCGGCCTCTCCCGTTGCCTGAGCACAGGCTCCGGACGCGCAGGCTCAGCGGCCCTGGCCCCCGGGCCCAGCCGCTCTGTGGCATGTGGGATCTTCCCAGACCGGGGCACGAACCTGTGTCCCCTGCATCAGCAGGCGGACGCTCCACCACTGCGCCACCCGGGAAGCCCAATAATAAGCACTTTTTTTTTTTTTTTGCAGTCCGTGGGCCTCTCCCTGCTGCGGCCTCTCCCGTTGCCTGAGCACAGGCTCCGGACGCGCAGGCTCAGCGGCCCTGGCCCCCGGGCCCAGCCGCTCTGTGGCATGTGGGATCTTCCCAGACCGGGGCACGAACCTGTGTCCCCTGCATCAGCAGGCGGACTCTCAACCACTGCGCCACCAGGGAAGCCCAATAATAAGCACTTTTGAGGAAATTCTGCCAGGGGCAAATACTTTAGACACTGCTTACTCTTATTTCATTATAAAGAGGCCAAAATTTGCCTTTGCAATATAAACAAACAATAGAAAGTGCTTGAGGCTGCTCTCGCCTTCTGAGATGGCCCACACTCTGTGGAATGTGTTTCTCTCTAAATAAATCCATTTCTTACCTATCAAACAAAAATAATAATAATGATGATAATAAAGTGCTTGAGCACTTGAAATCCTATTTTCCTATGAAACCCTTGCTCTCTCCCATCATTTGGAACTTGCTAACATTTCTCAAATAATCCTCGGAGTAGAATTTCCATTTTCTCAGAAGTGTCCCACAAGTAGACAAAATGTTTCTTTGTGTCAAGGCCATTGGCTTTTACTATTTACTTAATTTTTGTACCCTTCTGTTGAAAAATAATTTATTGATGTTGACAAAATCATTGCACCATCTTTGTTCCTGATTATGATTTGTAAGCCACTTGAAGGAAAAGTGACCTATCAAATTTCTTGTACTGATGACATTTGTTCCAACATTTTAGTCTTTTTTTTTTTTTAAAGAACTTGTTTTTGTTTGTGTAGGTTTGGTGATTTCTAAAAATACCAAGGCACACCATGAAACATATTATCCGTTTAATGATCTGATGATGTGATGATCTCATCTTAGGAGACCTTGAACTTCAAGAGTCCCTGAATCACAAACAAGATAATATTTAAGGCCAACTTCAACCTGATCTCTATTGCTCTTCTAAGAAGTTTTTTGTGTATGAAATAATAATATCCATTACCAGCAAAGCCAGAGAAGCATACTTACCAAGTGAACATAAGGCACAAAGTATCCAAAAAGTGCAAGTGGTATTCCAACTGCCCACACTGCATATGCTGTCACCTTGAAGATGGCAAAATTGAAAATTTTTTTTGGAGGACTGAACTTTCTCCTGGAAAAGAGGGAGAATCTGTTGCCTCCTTTGGTTCCACTGTCTTTATCTTTGGCACTGGAAGCAAGAGGTCGGTAAGTAAAGCCAGCCAGAAAGAGAACAAACATGAAAATGCAGAGGACCCTCAGGGTATAAAAGAGGCCCACGCTGTCAGTCAGTACCCTTAAAAGGAAAGGCAGCAAAATTGTGAAGATACTGCTGCCAGCGGTGACAATGCCATTCACCAGTCCAAGGCGCTTCTTGAAATAGTGTCCCAAAATGACCAATGAAGGCTGGTAGGCAAAGGAGCAGCCACAGGCAAATATGATTCCATAGGTCAGGTACAGAGGCTCGATGGAGCTGTGTAAAGACGAAAAAGATGGAAAGCAGCTTTCATTATTTATATCATGTGCTTGGTAGAATAAAACCTTATTTTAAAACTGGGTTTCAGTTAATCAAAATATTTTCTACAAATAAAAATTAACCAAAAACAGAGGTGAAAAACTTAATAAGAATACACGCTGAAATATTTTAATTTAATGTGAACGGATAATAAAAAATGCCTTGAGTATGTGAAAAAATGACCGTTAAGGTCATCAGTGATTTGATTCCTCCTTCTCTTTCTATGGATTTCAGGCAAACCATGCAACACTGGGTAAAAACTGTTGTGTTCTCCGCAACTTAGAAATAAAGGACAGTGCCAGGAAGGGCCTCAGTAAAACTGACAATGATTAAAACAAAAAATAAAAAATAAAACTAGTCTTGATAAAAGTTTTTAAAAAGTATAATTTAACTATGAAAGCTCACTTTTTTAATGGAGTTTTCCCAGGCACTTACTAAGCAATCTACTCAAAGAAAAGGCTGCATCTGATATTTTCTCCACAAGGTTACGTCACAAACGTTTGCACAGGGGAGCAGTTCTGTTGCATTTTGCTGGCCTAAGGGCTGCGGACCAACCTTCGCCCTGTACTGCACTGTTCTTGGTATTGTGCAAGATAAGGAGAAATCATATTCTGATTGCAGGAATACTAAATGAAGTGTGTTCACTAGTGATCCCAGTTTGTAAGCTTTAGGGCCGTGTATGTCTCAAAAAAATAATAAAGGATTAAGAATTCTTTATTTTAACCAAATAACATAACTATACACTTCTTATGAAAGTAAATGAACACAGGGAATTCCCTGGCGGCCCAGTGGTTACGACTCCTTATTTTCACTGCCAAGAGAGCCTGAGTTCGATCTCTGGTCAGGGAGCTAAGATCCCACAAGCCTCACGGTGGGGCAAAAAAAAAAAAGAAAAAGAAAAAGAGAGGGCTGAAGCAAGAGGAGGCTGCAGATGGAAGGAAGTAAAAAACCAAAACAAAACAGTAAAGGAACATACAGCATCACATTCTTTGAAACAATTAAGGTAAGGAGTGAAAGAAAACTAAAGTTTTTTTTCTTTTGAAAAGTTCAATTCAAAAGGCTGTTTATCAGTAGTAAAGGCAAGCTATTTAATAGAAACTAAGATAGATAAAGTTGGTTAATAATTAAATTTTGGACAATAATTCTAGCCTAGCAATATGCTGAGGTAATCACAAGGAATTCTAGAATCTGATAAAATTAAGGCAGGTTATCAATCCTCTCTCCCTGAGATGTCCTTTCCCCCTCTATTAATCCACAGTTAGAACCATCTTCAAATCAGGCTCAAGAGCCACTCCCAGACTCCCCCAGATTAACCCTACCTCACTCTGATCACCCTTTACTGAAACTCCACTCTTTATTCAATAAACATATATTTAACAGCTACTATGTTCCAGATACTTGGTGAAAAAAATATTTAAAATGTGGTTATGCCCTACTTCTAGTCTGCTCAGTGAAACAAGACATCTACCCCAGATAATAAGAATACAGAACAAAATATAAATAATACTTCACTCATTCTGCATCAGTTTTTCCACATAAGCAGTTTTCCAGGTAACTACAACTTACTTCTTAAGGTGCTAATTTATTTTTATTTAACAATTTTAAAGGAAAATTCTAAATCTAAATACATTTCTCTGCCTTCTTCAAAGTGTATATTAAAAATAGTATTGACAGCAAAGTATCATCATGAACGCCAATATCTACACAATTATACCACATTATTATAAAGATGTCAGTTGGAAAACCAGAGAGCCACTGACATAAATCACAAACATTCTTTTGCACAACATTTAAACAGAGAGTGCTGGGTAAGATTAACTTTGTATCTCTCCCACAGAGTAAAGTACATAAGCTTTGTGATGGCATTTTCACTGCTGCTGGAACCTTTTTTACTTCTAAATTTTCACCTGAGTAACAGGTGGTTCAAACTGTTGAAGTATGACAACTGAATAAATACAGTGTAAATCAGTAAGATATCAAGTATGTGTGGAAAAAGGATTCAAAGAAGAGACACTGATGCAACCTGGGGGTGCTAGAGAAGGCTTTCCTAAAAAGGCAGAACTTGGGGCCTCCCTGGTGGCGCAGTGGTTGAGAGTCCGCCTGCCGATGCAGGGGATACGGG